TATATATATTGAGGTGGTTGATAGGGTCAGTGGTTCCATCATACTCATTTATCCTGGGGTATTTGAACCTATCCGGAAGGGGGTAGGACAGTACTTCAGGAGTAAAGGGAGTGCTAGGGGTAAAGCCTGTTGTCCCCTTTGATTTCTGTGCTAGGCCCGTGGCAATACCTTCTTGGATGATTCTGGCAAGCTCCCGTGACTCTATCGTTACTGCTCTTGATGCTGCGGTCATAGGAGGTATACCCGAGATTCCAACACCATTATCAGGGATGTTTCGTGGAGCTCGAGCTTGAGCAGCTGCCATAAGATCGCCATCTGGTGTTGGTGTATGCGATGGGTGTGAGTTTCTTTAGCTTAATAACTGGGTCAATGTGGTAACTTGTTGGCGGAGCTCTTCAAAAGCTCCGATGGTAATGACAGCTGGTGGCGGTGCTGCCATCTCTGATGATTCCTCTTGAGGGACAGGGTGATCTCCAGGGGAAGGATTTGGAGCGGATAAGCTTGCTGGTGGAAGACCTGATCGTGTATTCACCATGGCTTTTGGTAGCGCTTCCCACAGACGGCGCCAATGATGCTACCAAAAAATGTCACCTGAAAGATCTTGAGCTTGATGGTCCAACTTCACTTTGATGAACACAACCGGTCTGTGATTACCTGTAACAAAAGGCAACGAGATGTGTGCTCGTCGCCCCTCCGATGCTTAAGTCAGATAGGGAATTTAGTGCGTGAGGCTATAAACTGAAGATAATGAAAAACGTACCTTAGTGTTGAGCTTTGGCTAAATATTTATAGGTGTTGGTGGGGGAGCTGTAGAAGGATTCTATTATTGAAAGAGTCATTTCCCCCTTATGATTAGGTGTTGGAGTTTGATTAGAAGTATTCTGTTAGAGTTCTAATCAGGGGAGGAGTAGACTTAGGTGGTGTCTATTTTCTTTTGGAGATTAAGTCGGTGGGTAGGGTTGGATTAGAGACCCCGACCTTAAGGAAACCCTGACCTCAAACCGGCATAACACATTAAGATCAACTCGGGGGTATTAGGTCGAGGTCGAGCATGGCACTCGAATTCGTATAGTTCGGGGTTACCAATCCGGAATCATCATGTAGGATTTCTAAAGAATTGCAATTTGTAATAGGATTCTGAATTTGTAATGAATAGATTAATGTAATAGAATTATATATTTGTACTTGTGGTCGATGTCAATTTTGATTTGAGGCTTGTGAATTGTGATGGTGGAATTCTCAAGGGTGTGATTCCATAATTTTCGTCAAAATTCTACTTCTTAGGTAAGCAATGGTTTGTCCTAACTTGTTATTGAATATATTGGAAATGTTTGAAGCCTTGTCGACTTATATAATTGCGGCCTAGTAAGTTTATATGATTGGTTATTGTATGATCAATTGCATAGGCGTATGTAAAACCTATATTAAAAACTTTATTTGTGAGACAATTGCGATATTTTGTAATTGTCTTTTAGGTTAAGTTTTAAGATTACAATCGATTACATAATACATTATTGGATTTTGCATTTACGTTGATTTTGGAGCTTAATTTATGGAGTTCGCCTAGGGCATCGAAAATTATTGAACCGACACTGCATAATCCTATCTACTCAACTAAAGTCAGCATTGAAATTTTTGTTGCATGTGCAAAATGTAAAGGACTTTCCTCATTCTTTTTATTTATTTATTATTATTTATTATTTTTTTACCAAAAATGATGAGTTCGAAAACAATTTCAAAACTTCCAGCATATGTCATCAACAAAGCATAGTCCAAGTCACTAAGGCATCGTTTGATAGGAACCAATTTTCTAGGGAAAATGGAATTAGAATGCAAATTTTCAACTTTTGTGTGTTTGATAGTGTTTTATTTTTCATGAAAATTAAATTCTTGTATTTCTTGGGAGTTGTAATTTTGTGGGAAAATCAATTCTTATTGTTGACTACTTTTTCTTTTTTTTTTAATAATAGAAACAAAATTTAAGAATTATTGTGAAAAAATATTTTCCTTTAATTGACAATTTTCATGTAAAACAAAGTCAAACGAACACAAAAAAACACTTTTATTTTAACATTTTTCACGTGAAAAATTATAACAATCAAACACAATAATTTACAATTCCTAGAAAAACAATTTCTGGGTAATTTACTTTTCTAGAATTCGTTTTCTTTCCACCCAAATTCCATCTTTACAATCAAATGAACTCTAAAATCTTCTATAATACTTTGTGGCTTTTAACTTGACAATAAAAAATCTCTTCTATATGAAATTCTTTAATTTAGAAAACATGTAATTATATTTGTGATGCCCCTACATGCTCAGGGTTGGTCGTATACTCAACTACTTGTCATCAGAGTCCATTCATGAAATTTCACTTGTTGAATTCTTGTTTATGTTACAAAGGTGCGACTTTGTGGTTGTAATGCAAGGATGAGATCAATTGTAGCTTAGCATATGCAGTCGAGGGTGTTTATAAAATTTTGAACGTTTATAAATCATTTCAATAAGGGAGATCCATTAAAATATATATATATATATATATCGTCGTCATTTTACCACATGAACAATATACCTTTTAAGCCTCTTTTCATTAAGATAGATTAATGTGTGAATATGCAAAAATTGCTTCTATGATTCAATAATAAAAATGGGTTGCTTTAACTTAAATATGATATTTATTCATGGAGTCTATCTGTTATGACTTGAGGAAAAAAAATAGTCATTGAAATCTAAGCCCGTTTAAGCAAAAATTATTTTGTAACTAATTAACTTTTTCAAACTTTTCTTGAATGTAAATTTACACATTAGTTTGAATATTTTCTCCTTGATATTCAATTATAATATCAAGTTCAACAAGGAGATGAAAAATCTTTCCTGTGAACGATACCACACTAATTATTATTGTACCAAACACATAAGCAAAAATTTGTTATGTAGTCTTGCTCGATTGCAAACTCTAGGCGAAAGTCCAATTTACTATATAAATGATATCCATATGAGCTTATGTAACAGTTTTAATCAAATGATTCAATATAGTAGCTGAGTAAGTGAATGTTTTGAGTTCAAGAATTATCATCACCCATTTGAAGGGATTGTGTACACGTAGGTTTTGATGAGAAAAATGAACTTGAATAATGTAAGGAGATGCCCCAACTACATTATTTACACGATAACATCCAATCAACTAAAGTCTATTTTAAGAGTCCCATGACGAGACTCAAAATTTGATATAAGATGCCAATTTGGCATCAAGACCACAAAATACCAACATGACTGTCACTTGAATCCAAAATAATAAGAAAAAGAAAAACTCGGTAACATGTTTACCACAATGTAACGCCTTAAGCCAAACTAAACAAAAGCCTCTAGCAGAAAATTTAAGAAATCTTCTCTCGATTACTTGGTTGACACCATGACTCTTGAACACAGGCTAAGTTTCAAAGACAACCCAATAACTATTTTCTATAGTCACACAATTAATAAATGTATAGCTCCATGACACATCTCACCAATCGATCACTCTATAGAGACTATTGATCTTCAAAGAAAGAGTTAACGAACAGAAGCACAAGTTAACCATCCAATTTATTATAGCATGGAAACTACAATTAGATTTCAAGGTTAATATTATTAGCACAAAATCAATATTTATTATCAACAAAATTAATTATAATGTTCATTACCCATATAAAATTTGGCAAAGCGCACCCTTGAACCAACCCCATATTATTATTTGGGGGTAGAATTTAAAATATTCTAATGATCAAAGCCTCATTTTGCAAAATATAAAACCTCCCCGACGATTACGAGTAAAATGCACTTTTATTAGCGTGAACTCTCCAACGGAAAACAGACGGGAAAAAACATTTGCAAAATTCAATTCAATGGCAAACAGCAATTTACCCCGGAGAATCATCAAGGTTCAACTCTCGATCTTCTTGTTATACGCTCGATCACTCTTCCAATTATACTCTTCACCTTTGATTTTAAAAAATTAGGGTTTTTCAATATTGTTTCCTTATATTTTTAACGAGTTTTAGTTTTTGTGATCTAATAGGAGACTCAGCGTCTTCTCAGCGAACCAGGTAAATCCTGTTACACGATTATAATTATGTTTTCTTGTTCATAATAAATATTCGAGCTCAATAACATACGTTCATATAGACGTGCTATTTGTTTTATTTTAACTTTTATAATATTGAGCTAATTCAGTGGTTTACTTTTATAACATGTTACAGGCAGTTTAGTTTATAGGATTAGAAGGATTCCAGTTTGGTTTCCAAGTTCTGTCTGAGTTTTGGTGGAATTCGTTGAAGATTTCCCAATCCATAAAAAACAAACTTTTTTGAAGGCTGTTTGATTTATTTTTGTTTTTTATGCAGCACCGGGGATAAGTGCATCTCCATCAGAAGACAATATGCGGTATTTCAATGTTATGATTCTTGGTCCAACACAGTCTCCTTATGAAGGTAACTGGAGAGGGCATTTCCTTGTAAGCAAATGGTTGCGCAGGCAGTTATCATGTCTCATCTTCTGCTTTTCGTGATTTAAATATAATGTTTCTATTTTGAACTTTCTCATATTCAGTCATTGCATCCTTGTTGAAATTTTCTCTATATTTCATTGGAATAAAGTTAATCTATGTACCTTTATACTTTACTGTTATGCATGGTCAATGTGGAACTTAGAGTTTTAATGATAAGTGATCATCGTCAGTCGACAGCAAGGATAGTGCTTTATTGGGGATTTTCTGGAATTATTGGTTAAGTTGTTTTTGAAGTTGTTAATGATTACCCATGTTTTGTGCTGCTTAAAACTGTTAGTAATTGGATTTTTTAATTGTAATATTCAACCGTTTGGTGGAGAACTACTTCCCTCTCCTGTTAAGTGGGTACATCTCCAGACATCAAGGATATCCTGTGTACATGGACAGTACACGGATTGGACATTATATCATATTGTAAATGCCCATCATAGGGTGTTACAAAGTTTGATTGTTTTGAGCAATTTCTATCGCCATTTTCTCCTTTTGACCTATCTTTGCAGGAGGTGTTTTCAAGCTGGAGTTATTTTTGCCCGAAGAGTACCCAATGGCTGCTCCCAAGGTATTTTAGAAAGACAACTTTTGATGGAATTATTATTAATGCAATTTGTTGTGAAATATACATAGTGGAGGTGCTATATTTTAATGTTTTAGTTTCTTTTATATCACATTGCCTCCCCCCTTTGTTGTCCCAAGTTAACGGAGTTTGCAACTGAAGATTGAAGGATAGCATTTTGTATTATTTTTCTCTCATAGGTAAAAATAGCCGCCAATTAGCAAGTTTTACTTTTTTTTTGCACGAAGGATACATTTTTTGCTTAGAGTGGGTGTAGGGGCCAGGGGGGCGGCATTCCTTGGTGTGATTAAAAGGAAATTTCATTGATAATGGAGAGAAGTAAGCTCTGTAGGTCACTGCATTTCACTGTTTCCATTTCGCTTGTTTAGATTGCATATCCTTTATACCGTGTATATTTGTTTGAAAATAAGTTTGCCCCTTATTCCTTTTTATTTTTGAATTCATGGATTTTATTTTTTAAATGTTTATTGCTCTTTTTATTCATTAGAAATTGTTGATTATTACTCTATGGATGAAGGGCAAAACCATTGGAGGCTTACATCTTAAATCCTGCTTGTTAAGGCCATTTATGAGACTTACGCCTAAGGCTAAGCCTATAGATGACTAAGTTGGTTGTTTTTTTCCTTGCATTTTATTAACATTCTATTACGAGCCTTAGCTTTTGAGCAATTTTCTTTTCTTTTACTCAATTTATTCATGTTTATTTGGAAGCTAAACTTTTAATTTTGTTAATTTGTTTTATTATGAATTTTTAAAGATGGTGTATAATTCATTATGAACATATTTTTGTACTTCTACATATTTTTAACTCCGGGCTTATGAGGCTTGTTCCTCGCCTCACAAAGGCAAAACGCATAAGTACCCGATTAAGACTTTTAAACATTACGAGGACCTAAATATCAAATTTGGTCAAGTTGCATAAGGTTTTGTCTACAAAAGCGAGAGTGTTGATGGCCAGGCTTTTGAGTTTTTTGAATAAAATACTAATTTGACATATCTCTCAATTTCTTATAAATTCTTAGAATCCTCAGAATCTAGATGTTTTAGGTTTGTTTATCATTCTCATTATTTGTAATGCATTAAATTGATAGAGTACAGCTATGTTCTTAGCTATGCCGTGAAGGAAATAGCTTGGTGGTGGTGATACCTAATTGGAAGAATTGAAGTACAAGGAGGAGATAATATGCGTGCATTGATATATTTGTTTGTTGATGCAACAAAAGACCACCTTGATAGCATAACAGCTTCAGGTGCTAGAGGTTGTGAGGAACAGGCATAGAGAGGCTTGTGAGGGGCGGTCATGCGATGACTAGAAACCTTAGCTACACGTCAATTGACAACATGGAGGCTGACACATGGGTCCACATGATGAGTTTGGGATCAACGCTTTCTCGAGTGATGCATTTGATGGCAATGTGAATCTGTTGTACCTCATGATCATATCCCCAATTCTGATTTGATCAAGATGAATATTGTTAGGAATTAAGTTTCGAGATTGGCACTCTTGAGTTCAATGGCGGCATTGAAGTAGAAAACAATTGGGCCTCGGATGATGTCAATTATAATAGTGTGTCAATTTTCATTGTAGAGGTTGAACTTTTTGATTTATTTACGACAGCGTCTAGATATTCGGTGAAGATTTTAGAGTTGTTTGGTTTTAGATTTAGGTGAGGACATATATGAGAATTTCCAACCTTTTGATGTTGAGATCTCCAAAGAATGGTTAGATGGTCATTTGAGCTCAAAGTTGGTGGTTCAGTATCCTTTTCTGACTTTGCACAAAGATGAGAGCAATGCAATAGTCTCTGTTGGTTATATTCTTATTGTGTGCCTTGCGAGCGCATTAGGATTCGTGAAGGCAATCGCTCAAATGTTCCCCTTACCCATCTCAAGAACGGGCCAGAGGGAAACCGCAGCATGGGGAATGTTCGCGTCTTGTTGGAAGTCTCATTTTGAGTTGTGGGTCATAGGGCGGGCTGCGGCCATCTTTATTTGATCAAGGTCCATGGCACAAGGTTCCTGGTATAATACATTTTTCAAAATGGGAGAATTTTTTTTTAAATGTTTTAATAATAGCTGGTTATCAATGTGGGTTGATCAAAAGAACACAATTTTTTAACGTTTTAGTTATAGCAGATAGAGTAGTGGGCTATCCCAAAGTAGGTCAATCATAATTTTTAATGATTTGGGGGTCAATACCAAAAGCAAGGTAAATAAGTCTAGAGAATTAAGGAGCATACACCTCACAAGTCTTGAGGCGTTTGCCTCACTCAGCAATTTCTAAATTCACAGATATTATCATAATCAACATGCTTTTAGGTGTGTTCATTGTTCTTATTGATTCTGCTGCATCACCTTTGCTATTGTAGTACCCACTCCACTGCCACACAAAAGAAATAGAGAAAAGGAAAAAAAAAAAAAAGGTGTGTAAGATTACAAGTAGATTAATATTTTGTTCCTTGGTTAAGGGGCATGAACTGGGATTTGAGCTTTTCCTTATCTAGACTATTTTAGTGTTCAACTGGCACATATTCTGCATGGTTTTTAAGCTGATTTGGTGGCAGAATTATCTGATAACGTCTGGGTTCTACTGAGCCATGGCCTTGACAAGAACTGCTGATTTAGCATTGGGTCCCAGTATTTGCCTTCCTTTGTTTTCTCATCTCTCTCTCTAGACCTCCTAGAAACTGTTCTGGAATAATATATTGAATTATGTGGCTCTGAAAACTATCTTATTTGGTGGGGGATTTATTTAACTACATTATAATCCTACTCCTTTCTGCAGCTTAGTTTCAGTACTGCTATGTGTGCATTCTCGTGTTTTTGACAAGTACAAGTTGTGTGTCCAAGTTGTTCTGCCAATATCAACTAAAAATTATTACTCCATCATTCAATTAGAAATGGCATTTTAAAATGTGAAATTTACAACCTCAAGTCCTTGTTATTGACCGTTTCTTCTTCATCTTCGTGTGCTTTGTTTTCCTCTCTACCATTCTTAGCTTTCAAAGTGGGTAATTAAGAGGTCAGCTTGTTTAATGACATTTTATAATTATTATGACAATAGTAGAGGTAGTAATGGGATGGGCTGCCATTACTGTCCCACCCTGTCAAAGATTTTGGGAGGCAAGGCGGGGGGTGAACAGGGATTAAAAAAATCCCCATTTACCATTCCGTTTGATTATTTATTTGATTTTAGTAATTTTTTTTTTCCAAAAAACAATATAAATTAAAAAACATAAAATAAAATTTTTACTATTTGGGGTGGTTCAATTCGGGGCTGCACTAAGTAGGGTGGGGAATTTTACGATCCCTACTTCCTGGAGTGATTATTCCTCTTGAGATCTTCGATAGCCTGAATTCATGGTAAATGGATGTTTGTTATTGCAATCACCAAAAGGGGAATTCTTTTGTTAAGTCTTGTCACCTTGATGGAAATAAACAACAAGGCTTCTTTGTGACAAATCTTAGTGATTGAGATTACACACAGAAGTCGGACAAATTAAATGTAAATGTATTATCTGAATGATGCTTAGCTGACTGTTTGCCTTTAATATCTTCTAACAGGTTCGGTTCCTCACCAAAATATACCACCCTAACATTGATAAGGTTTGTTGCCCAGTTTCTAATATTTTCCTCTGTCTAGGTCTCAGTCCAATATTTAAGTGTCTTGTTGGATTTTCTAAGCAGCTAGGAAGGATATGCCTTGATATTCTTAAAGACAAGTGGAGTCCTGCTCTCCAGATTCGAACAGTTCTTTTGAGGTAATAGAATGTAGTGATCCTGTTTTACAAAAGCTTTACACATTTCTGTAAACTTGTGGAGATGACCTAGAACTTCGGAAATTTTGTCATTCGACCTGCATTATTAACCTAATTTGATGGAAGTAGCAATAACTGAATTGATTAAAGAAAAATGATTCATGAAGTGGACCCATATTTATTGTTTTTGTCATACTTGGTGGAAGTGCGATCTTCCAGCTTATCTAATTGCCAAATGTCACCGCTGCATATGCCATATTTCATAAATACCCGTGAATTCACTTTTCGATTGTCTCTGTTTAGCATTCAAGCACTTTTGAGCGCTCCAAACCCCGATGATCCACTCTCTGAAAACATTGCTAAGCACTGGAAAACAAATGAGGCCGAAGCTGTTGAAACAGGTAGCCCTGCTCACAAGCAGAAATCTAATGCTCTTTTTAGCAAAATCATTACTTACAGAAGAACACACTCTGAAATCATGCAGCAAAAGAATGGACGCGTTTATATGCAAGTGCTGAGTGAAGTACATGGAACTCAGGGCTTTGATATAACAAAAACATGTATTGATTGAAGAAATTGACGATGCTCAAACCAATGGGAATTTAAATTAATGTTCTCAAAGGGTAGCATTACTATAAGATTACTCCTGCTTTTGAATTCTGTAATTGGAGTTTTATAACGAGATGAGATACTCTTCGTGTTTTTTCTTCCTCGTTGTCTCAAATTTTACCTTAAAACTCTATAATTTGTCTGGTGTACTATATTCAATTGTAACAATATCCTGCTGTTTGGGATCTGTAGAATTTTTATTTATTTATTTATTTTACTTTTGATGAAGCACAAAATGGTAAATTGACAAGATATTGTGGAATTAAATTAGGCTGATTATATTCACACTTTTTTTTAATACATTTTTTAATTGCACTTAAAAGTTGTTTATCTTTGCCCGTTATAATACTTACGTTCTTAATTTTTATAATTTGCCATATCCTTATATTTAACCTTTTATTAATTATCATGCTCATCCTTAATGATGATTTGTGTCAAAATATTATGTTTGTGCGTACGAGGGTTACAACTATTTTCTTGCATTTTGTATTTATCGTTTTTTCATATATGAAGGGCAAATAAGTTGTTTTATATCTATCCAATAATTTTTTTGGGATGGAAATCATTCTTAGAGATAATATATGTTCAAGAATAAGAATATAACCAAAAAAAAAAAAAAAAATTATATATAATTGTTACATTGAGAAAAAAAGATTCCACAATTATGTGTTAATATATTTTGAATATCTTTTAATATACAAATTCACTTTGGAGAATGATTGCAAAACATAATAATTGAAATCTCATGAAAGGTCTTTGCTTGATTAAAATCTTAAATTCTATTTGTCCATATCTACCTTCCTAACCGACATTGCCACCCAAAATGTTGACCAGCCAGTCAATATTTCAAACCTCTTTTTTCCCTTGTGTTGGGGCTTTTACAATTCAATCCGTTACATGTCTTTGACTATATAGCTTATTTTGAATAAGCCTCCGTTAAAAAAAAAATAATAATAAATAAAAAATTATAAATATTTAGAAATAAGTGATTTGTAAATGGATAATACTTGTGAGTCAACTGAAATATATGATAAAAATTAAATTTGATTCAAAAATATCGCCAAATGGATGTTAAGATGCCACTTTATGAGAAGCCTAAGACAAAAACAAATCATGTAAGAAAAATGGAATTTTTTTTTTTTTTTTTTCAAGTTACCGTTGTTTTAGCATAGTGGCTCGACCTTGTACTTGTGGTGAATAACATCTTGAGTCGTATTGTAATATGTTGAGTACACTAGTGTTTCTACTTTAGATGACAAACATGTGGACTGTGATGCTAACTAGGTTTCCATTTTCACAATATTAACCAAAAAAGATGAAATATTCAATTTTCCCTGTAAGTCTAGATAAATGTTATTTGTAAGCAATGTTCATCAGCAATGTTTACAAATAGCATTACTGATAAGTTTATTTACTCAATTCTAATCGATGTTGGACTTTTTAAGTACTTCACCAACAAAATGTAAAGTTAACTAATGGTTTGGTTAGAGCCAAGAAACACTTCATCTTACTCGGCATGAGTTTTAGTTGTTTGCTATTACATCGTCTCAATATGTGCAATAAAGTCATACATATAGACAATGTCAACTAATACACAACCATCAATACAATCACTTTTCTATTTAGTTTTAACCGATGATTTAAAAAGAAATACACGAATAAATCAGACATGTATACCCATATAACCTTGTAAAATATTTCCTCAAAACGAGCAAAATGGGCAGCATCAACCCCGTCTTTAAGACCATTGCTTCGTCATCATTTCAAGGAGAAATACTTTGATTCATCTTAGATGGTACGATCATCAAATGAGGAGCCACCAGGTTAGTGGGTGGTACACCCACATCCTACGAGATGAGACCGCTTCAGGATTTGATTTTCATACGTGAGATTCATTTTTAACGGCTATATTTTCTGCACAACTCTTGGATTATCAATCTGCTTAAAGATCTAACATTTCGTACACTGTAAGAACTGTACCAAAGCTATGCTGCAGAGACTTTTATTATTAACTTCTGTCGTTATTCGATTTTGTCTTCAAAAAATTTTCATTTAATTTTGGCTTTCCCCCCCTTTTTTTGGGTCTAATGGATCAGCTTTAAAATCTCTCATCCCAAAAAAAACCATTATTTCCCAGTCACTTTCAACCCACTTCCTTCGTTGTTCTGACGTTCTTGGCTTTAATTCAATTAGCCATATTTAAAAAGATTGAACCCGAACTTTGAGGATTCTCACCGTTTCTTCCCGTCCCTAGAGCTTTGTGGGAAAGGTAAATCACGAGATGTGCCCTAACAGACAAGAGAACAAGCACTACATGTACACTGCGTCTACAAAGAATCCAATTTCATATCTTAGGAATCGAACATCCACACTACGTTTGCCAGCAAGGCGTGAGATAACCTCACTTCTATCTTTTACACTACTAGACCATACCCCGAGGACTGCAATTAGCCATACTTTCTTCTTTGTTTGGACAAAATTGTTCAATCCACATCACTTATTTTAGGTAACCTATAAAGTACTTCTATGTTTGTAGTTTGCAGTGTCGATTAGCTCACCAAACATGTACTTAATGCTCTTAGATGACGTTGGTATTAAATTCAATATCGACTATTTCTTAGGTAAGAAAAGTTAAATTGAATGGTAACAAGTGCAATGAATAAAAACAGGAGAATTCATTGCAAAGGTACAAAAGGCTGCTTCCAATGCACAGCCAATCCATTTTCGTTTGGACAATTTTGCCTTTGATTATGGCCTATGTATGTGGGGACTATTTGGAAGTTAGCCAACTTTAATGAACTGTAGAAAACCCTCTAAAACATGTTCTTTGACATTAACATATCTAATATTGGAGTGTTCGATAGGCAATCAGAAGACAAAATTATTTCAAGCATGAAAATAACCCTTTCTACAAAGACGAGAGAGAGAGAGAGAGAGAGAGAGAGAGAGAGATCGTTTGGACAATTTTGCCTTTGATTATGGCCTATGTATGTGGGGACTATTTGGAAGTTAGCCAACTTTAATGAACTGTAGAAAACCCTCTAAAACATGTTCTTTGACATTAACATATCTAATATTGGAGTGTTCGATAGGCAATCAGAAGACAAAATTATTTCAAGCATGAAAATAACCCTTTCTACAAAGACGAGAGAGAGAGAGAGAGAGAGAGAGAGAGAGAGAGATCAATAAGATTTCATTTGACCATAAGAGACTAATTTAAAGATAAAACGGTGAATTTTTAAAGATTCTGGAAAGAAAGAGATATCTCCTATATTACTCATAAAACGTTACTTACAATATATAAAAATATCGATGTAATAATGGGGTGGGGGTGGGGGACAATCTAGTCCGACACTAATAAATTACATTATCTACCCCCACCACCCTTTAATAAGAGAGACCAACCATCAATTAAAAACTAGCGTCCTCACCCAGTATGAGGAAAAATAAAACTCGGTACATAACAATAATAAATTTCATCCAAAAAAAAGAAAAGGAAGGGTCTTAAATTATGTAGAAAATAAATGCGTTTAATACATTAAAATATCAAATAACGAAAAAAAATTGAAAGATTTTATTGCTAAAATAATTGAGCAAAAAAGCATAAAATATCAATGAATATCATATTTTTGTTTCTTTTCACTAACACGGGAAAGCTCCCACCAGATCCATTTCTTCCTCCAATGTGTATACAATTGTACAGAACCTCAGTGCAAAAGCCGGCCAGCCAGTAATCCCATCTTTCTCTATATCTAAATTTCAGCTATAGATACAAGTTATAATTATATATACTAATAGCGCTACTCGTTCTTGGATGAAGATATGATAGTGGTACAAGGCCGGGCTAATGAAAACGGCAAGAAGAACCAAGGATTGGAAATGGAATATGACAAACGAATGAATAAATAAAAAGAGTAAAACGGAACTATGCTGGCGATAGGCTGATATGGCTTCCTATTGAGATCATTATGTTGCAGGTAACTAATAATCCTCGAAATGATCAGACGGGAGGTGGTTTTTGAGTAAAAGCTGGCATCGGGGAGGAGAGGTGTGCACGTGTACAAAGGCGTAGGGCAAAATTTGATCTAAATGCTATAATGTCTCACCGAGGATTCAACCAGCTCTGGAGTAGGGCAGACCATTTCCTTCATTCGGCTGCCCTTCTTGTATATCTTGAAAGTTGGTACAATTCTGACATTCTCAGCGTGAACAATTGCAGGGTTCTCATCGATGTCCACCTTAATCAAGTAAAATATATACTTCAGATTTATATATTTATGCATGAGAACTATAATAAAAGCTCAGAGTAAGCATGGTAACGAGCTCCTACTAAAAAAGAAAAAGGCCAAATAAAATGGCTTCGGCCACTTACCTTGAGAAAATTTATGGAAGGATATTGAGTGCACAAATTGTCCAATAATGGAGAAATCTGCTGACATTGTAGGTTGGAAGATGCTTTAAAATGGACCACTGATACACCTGAATAATTAATCGTGATCATCAGATTGCTCTAATACGACTATGTATGTGTAAAAGTCGCGGGCGTCATTTCTCTTACCAGGTGAAGAAATTGCAGCTCGGAACTGCTCAAGATCAGAAACTGACTCCACTTCTCCACCAAATTTCATGTTATGAATGTCCTCTCCCCGAGATTTCTTCAATGCAACTTGCACATGAAACAAAGATTCGGCAACTGCATTGTCATCTGGGAGTTCCCTTCTCAAAACCTCGTAATCTCTCACAGCGTCAGCCCATCGTTCAAGCTATAACAATCTATGTGAAATTAGAATTTAAAGATCGAACTTTCAAATAAAATTAAGTCTCTAAGCGCTACAAAGTTCTTTGAGGAATATTTTGAAATATTCAATATTATAAGGTAGCATCGCACCTTTTTGTTTGAGGCAGCCCTTCGAAGTAAAGCTTTAATATAATTGGGCTGAATCCGGAGAGCTAGGTTGCAGTCATCCACTGACTGTTCCCACTGTCCAAGCTTAAACCAACAAGCTGCCCTATTGCAGTATAGAATGGGATTCAGAGGATCATGCCTGAGTCCTTCAGCATACGCTGAGCAGGCTTCAGTATACCTTTCCGATTTGAAGAGATCATTCCCACGAGCACGAGCTCGATCGACCAACTTCACAGTGTTAAGTATAACCGAGATTTCAGCGTTTACAGGGTCAAATTGTCCCGCTTTCTCGATGGCTCTAAGTGCAGTGTCAGACCTGCAAGCATTCATCATCCGTTTCATGATCAAAACTCTCATTCGTTTGGCGGACCTGATGGGAGTGAAAACTCGAGTATGACGTACCTTCCCTTTGCCAACTCAATTTGGGCTCTGACGTAAAATGGGTATGCTTCAAAAAGCATCCCAAAAAATTTCGACTGTGAATGGGAAACGTTAGATGGTTCAAATTTAGAAATATCTGATAGAGCCAGAACTGCATCATCTAGTTGGTTCAGCTTCAGGAAAGCTTCTGCTCTACAAGCACAAAGCTGTAAATTCAAATTCAAACGCTTCAGTTATAGCATTTTCCATTTTTCTAAAATCTTTAATACATTATATACAAAAAGATTTATGAAGCACCTGAGGTGACATGTCAGCTCCCGAAGCAATGGCAGCATTGACTTCCCTCAATGTGCTTCTCCAATCGCCTACTCTCCGTGCATCAGCACATTTTCTTAGGTGTGTTTCCACAGCCTGCAACTTCTGCAACTCAATTGGATCCGGCTGATGCCCTGGAAAACAAATGTGGTTTCGGGCATTCTCGACCTTCCCTAAACTGCAATAACGATGTTAGATTGATTATCATGTATAAAACCTGCAAACAGACGTTACACTAGATTCCCCTGTTATTGCGTATTCAAATTTCAATAGAAAACAAATTCCAAGACCTATTATTTCAACCTAAAAAGTAACCCATTGCTCCCCTCAAATCAAATATGGTCCTCCAGCCTATACTTATAGCCTTATAAACTAGAGGAGAAACATACAGTGAACAGAGTAAAAAATCAAGCAAATCCCTGCAACAATGCGGAACAGACAGCATAGGTAACAGTGACATTAGGCAAAACAAAATAAAAAAGTCAAAATCACAAAGAGCTGAAATCTAATCCAATCAGATCGATGACCATTACTCATTCTCATCAATGCAGATCTACTGACATACAAACTCAAATCAAACTAATCAACAAGACTGAAGATTTGAACTGATACATAAATATAATAAAGATTTGATCTTTCATTTATAGACTCACCTAAGAAGCAAAGATCCTAATCGATGGCGCGCACGAACATAGCCCGGATCCAATCTAATCGCCTCCTCGCATTCCCTCAGAGCCTCCGGCAAATGTTTCAAGCCCATTAAAGCTGCAGCACGGTTGAAATGGTAAGTGGCATTGCCCGGAGAAATTGCGATGGCTTTATCGTAGAAGCCTAAGGCCTCGGCGAAATGTCCTTTCTTGTAGTTTTCATTTCCTGTTCTCTTCAACTCCTCTGGATCATTACTAATGTGCATTCCCATTTTCTTCACTGGCTCGCCGCCAACGATTAGCCCACTCGAGTGATTTGGTGACGTCGGCGGCCCACCGTCGGGTTTAGATGCAAGACCGCCTCGCATTATGCTGCCGTGGCCATAATTCGCGGTGCCTAAACCCAAAACGTCGGTTTTAGTGGATCGGCTCCCCATGCCGCTTCTCAAAATCCTGCCGGACCGACAAATATTCCCGGTTGGAAGAACATTGACCGACATAGAATTGACTGAGCCTCCACCACCGGAGTGAATTAGTGGGAGTGTACCTCCAGAATAGGACCGGGTATGACCAGGTTTGAAGATACGAGCAGTCGACGGGGAACTCTCCACGGAACAGCCCAAAAGCTCGCCAGAATGGCTTTTTTGGGAATCGGTCTTTTTTGAGAGAGACGGACTGAGCCCGCCGGATGTTCTTCCTGAAACCGATCCGGAGGAGCTGGAACTGCTGCTCGTGGCGGTCGCAGTGAGCCCAGCCTGACGAGTCCTCAGCGTCGAAACAGGCGACCCCAGATCAAGTTCTCGAAAATCCGGCTTGTTAACATAAACACCGGAATCTTCTTCACCAAAGCTCAGTCTCAACCGATCTGTCAGCTCCTCTATCCCCAGCTCCGACATTGGTTTCCCAGAACGCGACATTTTCACACTTCCTACCTAACTTCGTCACGCTCTCTATATATCACACAAAAACAATTTTTTCTCTCTTGGGTTTCGTTCCTTCAGTATACTTCTCTCAATGGAACCCACCAATGCAAAGTGCAAGAAGAACAACAGCCGAGAGAAGATAGAAAGATACCGAACAGTATTGAAGACGACATTGAAGTGAGAGAGTGGGAAAGAGAAAGAGACAGGGATCTCGTGATTTTAAAGAGTGAAGCAAAGAATGAATGCGAATTCTAGAGAGAGAAAACCACCATAAAAAACGAAATTAAGAGGTTCTACAGATTTAGAGAGTGATGAAGAGAAAAGAGTTTTACCAGCTACTTCACGAGAGAGAGAGAGAG